CGGGGCTGCTCCCAGTGAGCTGCGGCGGCTGGCCAGGGGACCTGGGTGGGTGCTAAGGATGGAGCTGCGGCGGGAGTGCAGGAGCGGGGGTTTGCCTTCCTCGGTGCCTTGGGCTGGGGGCTGGGAGCCATGGCGGGTAGTCCGGAGCAGAGGGGCTTCAGTCTTGTCCACAGCTGTCGCCTGGGCTGGCAGGGCCATCTCTGGGCATGGCTGCTTGGCCATACAGCTGGTCTGGAAAGGAGAGGTGGCTCTGAGTGTCAGGGGGAGGTGGATTGTCCCTTAGCCTCTCCATCCCCCTGCCTCTCTGCTTTGTTTCTCCATGCACCCTGCAAACCCCACACCTCCTGGTCCCTGTGGGGCTGCCTGCAGAGGGGCTGGGGGGATGGTGGCAGCCACCTTTGCTTCTCCAGCACCTCCATCCTCAGCAGCCTCATCCAGCTGGGGCTGATCCAGTGCAGATGCGTGTGGCCCATCTGGCCCCCTGTTCTCCTGGCCCCAGCCTTCTCCTGCCCCTCTGGCCTCCCCAACCCTCCTGCCTGCATCTGGCCCCACACTTACCCCCAGCCCCCCTCCTGCCCTGCTGGGGTAAACTTGTCTCCAGCTGCTGTCGTGTCCCCAGCTGCCCAGGACCGACCTTGGTCCTCCAGGCTGCAATGAGCAGGGCAAAAGCCGTTGTGCTCCTGGAGTGTGAATTGTTGCTATGCCGCTCTCCAGGGCTGCTCTGGGGCACGGCTCCTGTAACTCCTTGTTTCCTGGTCCCTGAACAGCCCTGTCCCCTTTCACCCCTGCTTTCTTTGTATTTCCAGATGTGGCCAGGACTGCAGCCCATGTGGGGACATGGGACTGTGCATGTGCCCTCCAACCTCAGCCATCCTCTCTTTGCAGTCCCAAAAAAAAGCATTAATGGGTGTTGAAAGTGCAAAGGAAAGGCAAGGGGTGGAGAAAAGCCACTGGGATCTCCCCTTTGCACTCCACCTCAGGGCTGCACTAGGGCTGGGACACCCAAAGGCTTGATTTTACCCAAAGGTTTGCATCCTTCTGCTGCTTATCCCCCTGCACCACCTCTCCCAGGGCAAAGGGTGGGCACCCACCAAGTGCAGCCTGCCACGGCTGGGCGTTCTGCTGCTGTGATGCCCTGACCCAAGGGCAGGTTTGCTGGGTGCTCCCAGCCCTGAGCAGGGTTTCTCTCTGCTGGCAGAGCCCAGCCCAGCTGGTACGCCATGGCTGCCCCATCAATGCGCCTTTGTCTGGCCCGGCTGCCGCGCTATTTGAGGAAAGTGGAGATGGCTTTTGTGTTTCTATCTCCTGTTAGAGGTATTTATAGCCTGCCGCTGACTAGTGCTGCCAAGCACGCTGCCAGCTGAACCCTGCTCCCTTGGGGTGCTGCTGTCAGCTGTGGGCCCTGCTCTTCCTCCTCTCTCCCACCAGTGCTGGCAAGCAAGGGTGGATCCCTCCCTGGGCACCTCCCCAGCATCCCCAGCCATGAGCTACTTGGGGCCAGCTGGGCTATAGGGAGAACGGGAACAGGGCATCCCCTGACACAGCATTTGGCTTGGGCTTGGGTGAGGCTGGTTATGCTTTTTTCTGCCTATAATTGCTTGTGTCCTAAGCAGATGTGAGAGCTGCAGGGCTTTGGTCTGAAGCACCAGCAGGAGCGAAGGTTTTTGCCATTTTGGGGGGGCAGATCTCCCCGCTGGGCTTGAGTTTGCTGCCCTGCCGAGGACCCCACCATGCCCAGCTGCTTCCCACGGGGGCTGTGCAGGCGGAGATGGGGCTGATCTTTGTGCACGAAACCTGTGCATGTGCTGTGTTTTCCAACACCCAGCCCCTCGCCTCCCTGCACCCCCACCCCCGGGCTCCTCTGCAGCACAGC